TGGAATTCTTTCTGATATATCCTAGAGAAGATTTTGACGGAAGATTTTGACAAGGATCAACGAACCTCCAAAGCTGCAACCACAACGTCGATGTTATCATTGTCTAAAAAAAGAACCAGTCCTGGCAGACATCCTTGATCCTGCACAATGTAATAAATAACTGAACTGGTTAGCAAAATCGAACAAAGTTAAATTCTATCAGATCAACTACATGTAGAATAGAAATAATCATTAAAGATTAACATATATTTCTCTTAAAATGAAAAAACATGGAAACTCACTGAGAAGCAAAGTGAATATAAACTGACCTTTACGATGGCGTCTCTGTTCTTTGGATCGGACGCCAATTCACGAAGTTGCTTCACTACGGCGCACACATCCATTTTGTTTTTCGTAATGGTAATAGATGCAAATAATGCAGAGCAGATTTCTGAACAGATCGATCACTTTTGAATTTTTGAGTCGATGAGAATGTACACGTTGTATTGCAGTGCTGCTGTTGTCAGTGCCTGTGGAGAAATACCCTAAACGTCAACCTGACCATTTGGTAACAAACAATGTCGCCTCACCCCCCCAAAAAAAAGACTGAAAAAGAAAATCTAGGGCCCACAGCCAAAGTCCAAAGACAAAAAGAGCATAGGCCTACTAGTGCACAAAGCTGACTCAAACAGCGTAAACAAATTGAAGCAGACATTCTCAGACAACGAAATGTACTACTAGGTAGGCCGACCTAATAAACCAAACGCCACTCTCTGGGTAAAAAAGCCCCTCCCTCAAGGTGGAAATGAAATGTCGCCCTCTACTAAAATCGAACGACGAGCCACCAACACTGATCTCTAGCAGTGGCCACCAACCATTAATAACGCAAGACTGCTGCCAACACGTTTTCGACTTTAATTTCACGAATAATTTGAAGCCCAATAACCTGCTCAAACACATCCCTCTTACAAGTGTCTTCAAACGTTACCACTGTTTCTACATTTTCGAGAAAACTCACGGATAAATTGTAGATTTTGGCCTCAGGAAAAGCACACTCAGGATAACACGCCAATCGCACACTCCGTCCGCACAAGTCACTTTCTGTCGAGTCGGCCTGGCAGGGTTTTAAAAATGGCTACCGTGTACGACGAGGAACGCTGATTGGCTGACGGATATCTCTGTCATATTTGATTGGTTCGCCGGCTTTCCGCACCGTCCCCAATTTGCATAAAACAGCACAAGTCAACGGAAGAGATCGAATTTAAGTGCTGCGAGTTAGTGAAGTTTTTCTGAATTTTCCCTTTGAAAAAGGTAAACGATTTCTTCAATGATTGTAACAATTATTTAGAATGCATTTGTGCATTGATATGCTAGCTTTCTGTGGTACTTTGGTTCTTGTTCGCCAAGAACATTTTAAATCATCGTTACTTTGTTTTGTTCATCTTCAACGCTTCAACATCAAGTCCAGTGCATGGCGGCGACGCGGCAAGTCGGGGGGGGGGGGATTAGAATCGGGGGTCCAGCTGTACCATGGTTTAGAAAAAAGAGTTCTATATACTGACGCCACTTGACACCCTGTTCACAAACCCTTTGGGACTGGTCTGAAAAATTCTAAGACGAGGCCTAACAATAGTAACATGCCTAAGGGTAATTTTCTAAAACGACTTCGGACCTTTTTTCCCCCCCTCCTGACTGCCTGAGTCCTAGTCCTAAATAGACCTTTTCCGGACATGTTAATGCTCTCTGACGGCTAGTACCAGTAGTCACTGTAGAGAATAATATTGGTGTCCGTAGGCCCTACATGTTATGGAACTCTTTCCCATGGTTGTGCCTAGGCCATGTTGGCGGATATGATAAATGTTACAGGCCTACCACTGCCTACTGCCTGTATGTGGAGGGTGTTTTTTGCTGGGCCTGTCATGCCAGTAATTTGTAAAGAATACAGTAGGCCTATGGGAAATGGAACCTAGGCCTATTAAAGCCTAAAGCTATAAATACTACGTGTACTGAGGCTCTACCCCCCAGAACTGTGGAGTCCAACGTCCGCCCGGCCCCACAGTTCGGGGGGGGGGGGTTGGTTGCATAAAAAGGGAAAAATAGGCCCAGGCCTATCAATCCCTGAGCAAAAATGGTGTGAGATTGGGGTTCCCCTGCCCCCATGAACTGTGGGTTCAACATCGGCCGTGGGAACACGCTGGATGTCGAACCCCACCTTCTTACAGCTCTGGGGGTTCCCCCTCACTCCTTATGGAATCGAGTTCATATTTTTCTTCTAAATGAATGACAAAATATAAATCATCTCCCTTCAAAACATTTTTACCAATGTATGTGCATCACCAGCACTAAAGCAGTAAGGTTAAACTTCATTTAGTCTCACCTCACAGTCATGATTAACATTGGCGCATCTGAAATGTTTAAATCCAGGATCACAAAGTAGAACATTCAACTGGGTAAACAGCAGAATTTGAGGCCAATGTCAGCCCAACCTGTGGACTTGGTGTTGTACATCAGAATGGTGCTGAATTATCTAGGGCTGGAGAGCAACTACAGGGTAAGACTAAGTCCTCTTAGTTTAGTTCACCGGCAAAAGAAAGACAGCCTGTCAAGATGGCAGCCATGCAAACCCTCTATTGCAGATGTACATGCAAACAGTTTATCAAACACACCAACCATCTCTGCCCTCATGAGTTGTACTCCTGGGTGGAGAAGCAAATAGGGGTGAAGTGGCTTTCCCAAAGTAACATCATCCAGCCAGCTGCTGGAGTTGAACCCTGACCCTCTCATTAGGAGTAACAGATCTAGTCATTCGACCACATGGTACTCACCAATTGTGATCAAGTCCGTTCTTTCTTTTATTTTTTCTCAGGAGCACGTGAATGCTCGTGCTAAGAAAGGTCGTCATAGAAGCTTAGTTCGTCAGATTGGCACATCACTTCCTCTTAAACCAGTCCGGAGAGTTCACTTCCAGGTGGTTGACACATTCGGGTTTCTCTTGTTTTGGTCACGTTTTCAAGATATTTTGATTGTTATTTGTTTCTAACAACATATGCAGAGATAAGTGAGTTTACGACCTGTTAAATGGGCAAAAACGTGTTTACATTAGACACCAAAATATTAGCAAAAGTCCAGAAAATCCAACCACCCTCTTGACAATTGCGCTGTCATGGTTAAAAAAAAAATTAATATCTGGGTTCCTGTTGCACATGCTATAAAATTAATGCACTTATGGAATGTTTTCCTTTGTAGTACATTGCCTAGTAACTTAGGTTGTCTGCATTTTTTTGCATTTTTTTGGTCTTGAAATTGCAAGTGTTGTGATGATTTTGAAGTTTGTTTTTCTGTTAGATTGTCAGTAGGAGGCATTATGCAAGGAGACAGAACAGAACTCCGCAGTTTATTGACGATGAATGCGAGCCAATGTACATCGCCAATTTAGCTGATTTATCATGGATTGACATTTCTAGTCCTGACAAGAATGTCCGTGGAAGGTACGATTCTTAAGAACAGATTTTAAGATTTCAAGAAAGAAAGATGATCTCAAGTTATGTCCTTGGTTTGAGAAACGTTAGAGTCACACTTCTTGCTGATGAAAATGATTCTTTCTGTTTGTGTTGACAGAGCTGAGTTAAGACCCTTCGTCAGTCGGAGAAAATCCCTCCGAACGCCGCGCCGGAGAACGTGTTTCATTCGCCGGCCGAGAGAGCCCGATATCAGTGAGTTGTCTGACGAACCGTACGCCTCACCGAGTGTGGAGTCTTTTTCGCGTTCGCTGTGTGCGCTGGATGCGTCGACCCCCGTCTACGATCCGTCGGCTCTGGCAAAGATTGGCCAGTTGGAGGATGAGTTGTCAAAACTCCGAGCACAGATCGCACACATTGTGACTTTGCAGAGCCAGCAGCAACCCACAGGTAATCAAATCTCCAAGAGTTAAAGCACTCTTTTGATTCAGTTACCCTCTTGGCCAGACTCAAATCCATGGAAATCAGCTGTGTTACCAGGAATGCCCATCAGTCATTGGTGCAGAGGCAGTTGTGGTATATTGCCTTGCTCAGGGACATACAAGATAGTTGCTTGGATCTGTGCATGTTAGTGCCATACCAGACCAGACTGTTTTCACTGCCTAGTTTGTCAATAAACTTGTTATCACTGCAGGTGCCACCCCGGCCCCCGTGCCTCCACCACCCCCTGCGAGTGGGGGTCCGCCACCTCCCCCACCACCCCCTCCCCCACCTGTGGCTGCCTCAACTCAGTGCCTCAGTGTTGCCGGCCAAATCAGACTCGTGAGTTTTATAGTTTAAAGAAACCGTTTCAAAATCTGAAACAGTCAAGTGCAAAACCTGCCGATTCACGTACAATTGAATGCTGAGACGAACCCAATGCAGCAGAAATTCCAAGCTATTTGATAAAGCAACATGAGAATCTGAAAACTCATGAAAAATAAGATGAAAATAAAAGAGAATTTCAACTTTTTCAAGTGAATGATTATAACCATGATGTAATCGTGATTATCGTAATGATAAATAGTGATTCGAAAAATTTAGATGCATTATCAGTTGAATATTCAGGGCTGAGGACAGAATGAAGTAAATAGCCACCAAACTGTTCACCCTCTCCAGAATCGCGCAAAGAAGGGAAAAGAAGATTCGAGTTCATCTATTTCTGATGGAGGCAAGCCCAACATGGCCGATGTCCTAAAAGGTCTTGGCTCAGTCAAGCTGCGGACTGTGGCAAGGTAATGTCTAACGCCACTCCTATTGAGGGTTTGCATGGCTGACATCTTGCAGGCCAGGGCTTTTGTTCCACTGGGTATGCACAAAGGAAGTTTTCCTGTGGGACAAAAGAACTGCCTTGCAAGATGGCTGCCACGCATAGCCTTTACATGTAATTTGTGTGAGTCGCTGCAGAGGAAAGTCAGCTTTTACGGCTTTACATGCAGCGCATAATGGGATAAACATGATGTTTTGCTGGACGCACGACAGAGTGACATCTTAGTACGATAGTATTGCCGTGCCATGATGTGGCTCAGGTTGCATAGACTTTGTGCACAAGATACATACGTTCATTGTTTGGCAACTATACACAATGCGTTAGTTCATGGAGCATCTGACGCTTTGTAGATATTACTGAACAGAATCCACAAGAATCAACTATTTTACCTCTTCTCAGTGTGTACACTTTAGTCTAAATGATTTACTTTTATTGACAAGGCTTCAGAATAACCTCATATTGTATAGGACATGTACCTAGCAAAGAACAGTTGTGGAAAATTACATATTCAAGAAGTTGATTGTCATATCAAAAAAAAGAAGTAGTGCCCTTGAGGAAAATTTCAGGTAGCGAACAGTATGCGATGTAACTCCTTGCTGTTGTGCGTTCAAATGCATGGGCAGTCCCCTGTTCTTAAGTACAATAGTGATTCACTTATCATAGCTACATGTAGAAGTTTCACGATGACACTGGCAGTGCATATGTTGGTTCTTTACAAACCAGATCGCCTGGTGGAACTCCAATCCGTCAGAAGCCACGGCCGACCACCGCCAACGACGCGGCGGCGCTGATCGCCCAGGCTCTGAAGAGGAAGTTTGCCCGTCAGAGAGCCGAAGAAAGTCCTGATAACAAGGAGAACAATGTCTGGGTGACGCCGTCACCGAAGAAGAACAGCCCCAGAAATGCTAGCCCAAAGGTATATTCACTGTTTACTGCATTCATTGAAAAACTAGGGTTTCTGAATTTTTTGTCCCAGAAAATCATTTGCCAAGTCGTCACATTCAACCAGTGTTTTGGGACGTAGAAATAATTCAGTTAAGAAGTCTGTATTAGACAAACACAGCATTTTCACTAGAGAAAGATTGGAGCCTGCAACCCTAAGATTTTGACTTATAGGTTTTTTATTTGTTTCCTTTTGCTCTGCAGTTTGGACAGCACTTGCTAAAGCCGACCAAGCTGAGTCAGGGTACCAGATCCAGCCGCCCGCTTGTTGAAATTAACGTATAGCAGTCAGTGACTTGATCAAAGTCATCACGTGAGAAGTGCATGTCATGTTTCAACAATATGCAAGGTACCCAGTCATGTACATTTATGACGCTCATGGCTTGACATTTTTACTTGCATTTTGTGCCTTTGAATCCTACACTGATGGCTTTGGAAAAGATTGTTTGGCCGTTGGCCAAATTTCCCAAGGTCAAAATCCAGAAAATATTGAAAGTGGCTAACCATTTGTGACTGGCTCCACAAAAACGGGAATTATGGGACTTTTTTCCAAAGTGAGTTACATACAGATTTGAATTGGTTACGTTGTAAGCTTTTCTTTGGTGTAGGTTTGAACCCTGTGGCATTTTGCAATCTGGAGATATTTTGATTTTTGCATAATCATATCATACACATACAGAATTACTTTCAGAGATAAAGCCCTTTAAACACAGGAAGTGGAAAAAGAAATCAGCCAAGAAGAAAGTCTCTTGATACCCATAGCAACAGTTACGTTTCTTGTATAAACTGTGAAAGTATTGATATAATAGAAGCCAATAACCAAGAATTAAAAAATCAGCCTGTCCACATAAAAAAGCCGGTCATGTGAAATAGCAGTGTCCCTTAATACCCTTTTTCGCAGAGTGGGTCACATTTTGGCAATAGATGGTTTAAATAATTGTGCGAAATAACGGACCTGATTAAGGACATTTACCCCATCAATGCTTGGTATCAATTCTGACACTGCTCCTCTTTCGACGTGGGTAAAAAATATGAAGCTACGTGGTTTATTAAAATTTGTACCATGTTCATTCAGTTGATGTTAGGTGGAAAAAAGTCTTACCAAATAAAGTGTACATTAATGTAAATGTTTGTTATTTTTGTATATTTTTATTCAGTTCCTGTAAGATTTGCTCACCTGTAACTTTTTATGTTTACTTAAATTTGTCTTTGTGCTTCGTGATTCTGAGCTTACAGGATAGAAGTCAACCTTTAGGCCAGCTGCACTGTCCTGTGCATATATCCCAATGAATTTGTAAAACTTCTCAGCAACCCAACGAACATCAGGTGTTGTGCATGTAGTGGTTTCTAAAAGTAACAGCGAACAATGCAAATGGCAAAATGACGTCAAGAACAGCTCATAAAAAGTGGCTGTCATATACAAATTGCACGGTGCATGCCCCAATTAGCGTCCATCTAGTTAAAGCACAGCCACCAACTTGGTCTTTGCAGGACGCCCCAATTACGTTTGAACTCCTCCCCAAACGAGGGTATTACATTTACGTGGATGATAATATTCAAATCACTTGGAAAGGGAAAACATGAAAGTGAAATTAGGCTAGGACAGTCCTCCCAAATTCACAGAGACTTACACGATCAGATTTGGAGGATTTTTAAATAATTTTATTTCTCAGAATAACCTTTTAAAATTGATTTGTTTTCTTAATAGAATATTGAGACATTCATAATAACATTAATAAAAGAAAATTCAATATACAAAAGACTTTGGCGGGCCTAGTGAAGTTCTTGTCAAAAAAACTATTTGTACAAATGTTTTAACACCAATGCTCATAAATATAGGTAATAAAATTTGAATGGAACACCTAAATACATTGAACTTAAGAGGAATAGAATTAAAAGGAGAAAAAAATTAACACGTTGCCATTTACACACTGACTTGAAACAAAATGGGAAAGAATCTTCTCTACAAAACTGAATGGCCAAAAGATAACTTATTGTTTTCATTTTACAAATACTGCAGTGTGAAGTTATCCTTTTTGACTTTTTTTTTTAGCCAACTTATTGCAATTAAGAACGGGTAAATGATGCTTTAACTTCACTTACCCCAAAATTGGATACTGTTTTAAGAAACAATTATTGCAAATGCATGCAAAATATAAATAAAACTTCTTACAGTGAAATTCTATACAAAACCTTAAAAAGATGTATAGGTGAAGTTAGCCAGTTTCCCGTGCAAAATGTTGTTTATTTCCCCACAATAACTGCTACAAGAAAGATGGTGTAAAGCAGCTCACTCATGGAGTGATGAATTCAAAACTGTTGCAAAGCGCACCTATAGAGGCTTTACGTGGTAGCCATCTTGCGGGGCACAGCTTTTGTTCCACAGGATATGCACAAAGGAGGTTTCCCTGTGGAACAAAAGAGCTACCCTGTAAGATGGCTATCATGCAAAGCCTCTATTCTACTTTGTACACAGTTGGGCTGTGACTAATATTATGGCTATGGCTGATAATGGATACATGTGCCTTGGGAGGCCAGTGGCTAGGGGTTCTTTCCATATAAAACAGACACGTGTGCTGCCGACAGCCGTAGCCACGACTTTTGGACGTGTCTGTCCTGAGCCCAGCTGTCCAACAATGCAATGATACAGTTATCTTTAAAGGGCCTTCTCTAAAATAAAAAAAAAATCTCATCTCTGGCATTTCCCTCTTTCCTTGATCCATTGTCACAACTTTACGGCTCAAACAAAAACAATAGACTCTCAAAGGGTGGCTTTCTATGGTAGGGCGGCCATGTAAATCTTCTTACAGTGGCCTGATTTCAGCCTTTTTCCCCCATGATTTTCAATTACAAATTTGGACCAAACATAAGGAACCTTTTCCTGCATACTCAAAATTTCAGACAAGTGTCAGAGCCCACATACATCTTCAAGATGAAAAATGTCGAGGTCCCTGTCACCAAAATGGACTCTATACGTGGATTTGAGATTGGAAAACGGACGCTCCAAGCCTAAATGGAGCTGACATTTGAGAAATGGACACAAGCTACCCACAATAATGTTCCTGGCATGAATCCTGCGATCTGTCTGGTGTGCCCATGCATAAAGCCTCAATAGCCCTATGTACCGATGACGTACAGCAGTGTTTATAGCAGTGTGTGGTTGGATAGAACAGGAGTCATCGGTGCATACACCCCCCCCCGCACACTGTTATCATAAGCGCACAGACTAATCCTATTGGACATCATAACTAGCACAGCATTCATGCGCACATTCTTTAGCTTGACGTGCACATGCATTTGGCAAATCACAACACCCTATTGGTCAATGAGTCACGTAAATCACGGGTACCACCTGTCCACGAGTGTTGTGCCACCGCAGTAATGGCCTTCTAATTCTGACGGTCAAATTACACCCCGAGTGTGTTCACCTCTGAGTCCAAAAGGAAATTTTTGGGTAACCATCATTTTAAATCTTCCCAGGAATTACCGTCCACTACTGGAAATGGTGATATTGCACCTTGCACTTTTGTGATTGAATGTAACTTGTCCATCTGTCATTTCCCCTACTTGTGGCAAACAACGGCCATGTAAGTCGCACCAATAACCCCAGTGTATCCCATAATGCACTGCAGTAAATACGTTGGCATACCCATGCATCATCTGTACATTGGGCTGCATATACAACATAGCATCACGCGAGACACCTCTGATATAACACAAGACTTGTTTAAAATTACTTCTAGTGTAAACAAATAATATCGCTGGCATGTCAACTCTTTATGCAAGGTGCATTGACGGAAATCAAGGGAACTTGACGGAAATCAAGGGAACTTGATGGAAATCATGGGATCTTGACGGAAATCAATGTAACAGAAAGATCCTTTTGCTGAGTCTTGGGAATTTCTCCAAGTTGATTGCAGCCAGTGTTTGCAATTCTTGTCTTTCAAAAGCTAAAGCAAGGCTCACGAATCAAAAATCAGCTGGGACACCGTGCAACATGAGTGGATCCCTATCTAAACATAGGGTGAGCTCAGCAACAAGTGTGACCTTTTGAAGGGACAAATTCTGCAGAATTTGGCATGCTTCTGAACCAATCTTTACATAAACACTGTCTTGAAAAATGCCATGGAAAAAATGGAACACACAGTAAAAAATAACAGCAGTTTCAAATAAACGACAACAGTTGACACTTTTTGTGTCTAATGTAATAATGCTGGCAAAATTTCAAGAATCTTATTAGTTTTTTATCTCTACACTTTTCACAACTGTCTTGGCAGTGACTATTACGAAGCTTTGAAATTTGCTGCAGACCTCAGGCTCCTCTGAGTGTACACCAATGCTTATCCCGTCGTTGTGAAGACCTGATTGTTGTATGGCTGAGGAACGTGCGATGTTCCAGACTAGTCCAACACTGTGTGTCATGACATGTCCAGTGGAACTGTGTTTCCAGATATTTCGAGATTTGAAATGCAGATTCAAAAAAACAGTTTCAATACCAAACACCATTCTTCTGGAACTGGCGGCGACAAGAGTCCTCCGAACTACCAATGGTTAATTTTTGACTAAAACCTGCCAAAGCTCCCCGGAAATGATTAAGCTCATCAAATTTGCTCAGTGTTCTGACAAATATGGTTGGCAGCGCTGCCAACAAAAAGGGTGCTGGGAATTTGGAGAAGATTCGGATTGGCCTTCCCGTTTGGTTGCGTCAGGCTAAAGAGACTGACAAGCCGGTGAGATCTTACGGGGAATGACACTGCATCTGTTCGGCTGAGAAATTCCAAGCAGTTGTCGTGGCACACATGGGCAGTGTCTAGTTGACAGCCGGTTAATGACTGGCATACCACTGGCAAAGCAGCAAAGAACCGTTCATGAATTTCACTCCTAGCATCTCTGTTGACATGGCGTGCACTTTTACACGTGACCAGCAGCAAAAACGCACGGTACAAAAAAGTGCATGAACTTGTAATACTACAAAGGCATAATACCTCATCGAGACTATACAATACTTGTACGAATTTCTCTCAATATGTACAATCGTTTGATACAAAATGCCAAATATTACTTGTCAAAAATTCCTTGGAATGTATTTGATTTGTGCCACATCAGGCAACAACAGCCAAAGCGTGTAAAGAAAAAACAGTACATTCAACGATAAATGGTTCAACAGTTTTCTTCCACTGTGACAAAAAGTGCTTCATTTTTTTTTACAAACACTAAAACACCCAAAGGAGATACAGCCAACTTTGGCCGTGTCCACACTGCACACTTCAAGAGCCACCGCTAAATGCATGTTATTTGCAACAGTCAAACACATAGCCTTGTCCAAGGCAGTGTCAGTGGTTTTTTTTTTTGGAGGGAGATTATCAGGCCTGGCACTCAGGACCCACAGCAAACGAGCTGCCATGCACTATCACGGTGCACCAACCTTCGTATGGTATAGCTACAGGTGTACTCTGGGAAATCCCATATACAGCACAGAGTATGTGGCACAATCGTGCATGTTACGCATGACCTGTTAGGTTATGGACTGGTCGTGGGGCATGTACATGTGAGTGTGAGTCGAAGCTATTGGCACACAACACATGCAAAAGGCAGGCAGACCAGACCCCTCTAAGTGGGTGCACGCACCGTTTACAGTAGGCTAGATTTACCCAACGCCTTGGTGAAGGGTATTGAAACCTGAACACATGCAGCTCCAGACTTAGACGTGGCCTCGTGTTGGCCGTGAACATTTGACAGACGTGTACGCACTTTGAAAAGCAACTGCGATATTTCAAGGGAACCACTTTAAAATTTTCACTGACACTGCAGTTTTTCTAAAAAATTAAAAATTCACGTGCTGTTTTCTTATCCTATTTCTTCAAAATCTACCTAATGCATGGAAATCCAACAGCAGCAACATGAATAGAAATGTACATGTATAACAGAAACCCATGTATCGAGGTAAACTTTGGAAACAAACACAATTGGCAGTGAACCATACTCAGAATACAAATCACATTGAAAAACTTCTGTCAATAGAGGGCAGCAAGCATCCTGGCCTCAGCCATGTGCAATGTACTGTTCCACGTTGCAGCCCTTCTGAACACTTACTTTTATTAAAAATAATGAACTCGACAAGACCACGCACACTGGCACCGTAGCTGTGGGGGCTACACAAGTGTTTAACGATAGTAGTTATGAGGACAATGCTTTGTCCCCACAACTTGGTACCAAACTTCTGAACACAGGAAACTGTCCCCTCAGTGCAGAGCTCGCCAGGGCGTTGAGATACCACTCTCATGCTGGACTCACACTCAGTGTCTTTTAGTACTTATACTCAGAGCAGCGAATCTTTTCATTAAGTAATTGTTCCTACTCAAGGAACAGCACTTGTTCCCAACGTGGGTGCATTTAGACTGCCAGTTTGAGAAGAAAACAGTTACCAATTCCTACATTTAAATAAACCAGTTGCCAGAGAGTCCTGACTTCTGAAGTCAAACCTCATTTTGCTTTTACAATGTGTGGTTGGTGCATCAGTTTCTTTGTGGCACCAATGACATTCAAATGTGAGAATCGAGATCAAAACTCAGCTTGAAGACTCTGAATGAGTATTTGAGTAAACGCTTGCACCAAACATTAGCCAGAATTTGGCATTTTTAGAACAAACGACTTTCTTTTATTCACAAGTAAATGAATGACACCTACAGAAGGCTCGAGACCAAGTCTGTATTCACACACATGCGTATGTATACTAAATACTGAGACTTGCTTTCAAGGCTTCCGACAATTTCAGAAGACAAATTGGACAAATTAGACGTAACATTTTGATACCACCATGACTAAACATTTCTGTATAACTGTACTTCGTTTGACTTGACCTAAAAGCTGACATACGCTGATGATACCACCTTTTATCACATACACGCAGCTTTCAAAAATCACTCCCTTATTAAAATAGCTGATGCAAAAAGGAACCAAAAACTGCAGCACTTTTTAGAGTTGACACTGTCCAACCTGTCGTTGGGGGGGGTGTTAAGATTTAAAAAATGCAGCCACGTCACACAAAAAGTTTCTGTAGCCACCGTTGACAAAAAAGAAATGAAATTTGGCACGGTGCAAAATTACTTTCATGAAAATTTCAAGCTATGCTTGCAAAAAAGCCTATTTCTTGCCTTTACGCAGTTCTGCCAACTTCCACATCCTCAAGAGGTTTCTTTGTCACTTTTTTCCCTTGCTAAGTGGAGTCCGCAGAAGAGACTGAGCAAAGATTTCCACGACAACCAGGGAATACGCCACCAACTCCAAAAGTGGACAGTAATTTGTGGCTGCGGTAAAATCTTAATGATAGGGTGCACGGCCAAAAACGACCGAAGACTGCAATTCTTGACCAAGTTACATGTAGAAATGCTCGCCTCAATGTGACATCCACTTTGCCGCTTCAGAGCAGAGTAAACTTTAATCGGTCCCAAACAACAGTCAGGAAGTTTGCCGAGGAAACCTCAAATTTGTTGATACCCTGCACGTGAAGACGCCTTGCATCAAAGGTGGCTGTCGACAACCAGTGACGTGACCACCTTGGTCTCAACTAAACTGAGTTGGTCAAACGGAACTTCCACAGTCACTCCTAGTCGGTTTCTCGGCTAGCGGGTATCTAAGATAAGAACTGGGAGCAAACGCTGAACATGCAAACAGCGCCCTCATGCAACAAGTTCCTCCCTAACGCAGACCGTTATGAACGCAATCCTGAATGCTGGAGAATCATGGCATGGCAATTGTCGGCCTAAAATGAATCTCCCTTTGTCGTCGGAGGTACAGTCTTGGACTGCATCTCCTTGGACTGCTTTTTATGCTGTGCGATGGAGGCCAGCTGGGATGAGGTGAAGTCCTGTATGACGGGGCCGAGCGCTGGTGGTACCGAGTACCAGCTACTGGTGGCTTGACCCAGCATCCGGGGTGGGGGCCGAGGGGAAAGACTAGGGGAGATACCTGGGGAAAAAAAGTACCGGTAAAAACTTTATTTGTAATTACAGGACTTGAAATAGATCAAATGGTTGACTTCTCTTCATTTTGTAACCAAGTTTAATAAATGTACCTTGATGAAAATGGATATGGTGCGAGTTTTCCCCATCATCCTTTGGCTTCAGTTTTATGAGTTTAGGCCCGTAAAGACCCACAGGCTCAACACAGCTCACAGCCTTTTCCTGTTCAAGGGCCCACTTGTCTGAGGCAAAGGTCTGAATAATTTGAAGAGGTTGGGATGAGGCTCGTCTAAGACAGAGACATGGCCGCAATTTGGGGGGGAAAAAAAGGCCACAGTAGGGCATGAACCTCCTCCACCCGAGAGAAATGCCTGCTTCATAACCCCACAAAATTGAATGAATGTGATCAAGCTGCCGTCATCACACTGCAAAATAATGTATGCATGCAGACTGTGACATGACAAGGGTTTATTAAAGCTCTTCTATACATGTACATGAAGGAACGTTTGGTGTCACGTGAAATTTGAACTCCTCTGAAACCTGGTCTCTTTTGCCTAACAAGCAGATTAATCCTTGTCCACTGAGTCATGTGGAATACAGCCACTCAGCGGCTATTTCAGAGGGTCCAAAATTTCACACCACGTCGGCATGGATTGTGAATGAGTACTGAAAATGGCCAACTCACATGCACAAAAGTAATTCCACCAGGCCAAAGATTTATAAACACTCCTCACACACCTCTTGCGATTGAAAATGAGATGACATACTGAGGCATGTTAGCCAATCAAAATAATGCATGGAGATGAAATCATGGCAGTGATTGGCTGATGAGAGCTATGATGTGACCAGTGGAATCTAAAAGTAAAAAAATAAAAGGGGGCTGTACAGTACCTACTTACTCGAACTCTTGCTAATCCGCCTTCGCTGATCTCTCTCCTCCATTCTTTTCCGTATCCATGGCGACCCCATCTCAGCCAAGCTCCTCCCCGCCAATGGCCCCCTTCCCGGCTCCCGGTGAGGGGCCTCATCTCGCCTGTTCACGTGTGGGCTCAGCCTGTGCCCGCGATCCGATGCTGAGCTGTGCTCGTAGGAGACTTGCAGCTGGTGCGTGGAATGACTGAACTTGGAGCCTGTCGAGGAGGTCGTCAGTCGGCTGTGAGCAATGCTGCGATTGACTGGCGACGGTGACGGGACCGAATAGAGGCCGTGCCCTCGCACGCTGGTGGTTTCTAACCGTGGGGACCCAGGTTGAACGTGAACACTGAGGTTGTTATTGATACCAGTGGTGAGTTCGTACCCCTTGGTGTTTGACCCCTCCTTAAATGTCCTCCCCCTATCGGAACTAAATGGTTGAGTCCTGTGGCTACCTAACTCCTTAGACACTGTACTTGACTCAGGTGACAGTACTTCCTGGCGGGGGCTATTGTGCATTGAGATGGACAGATTAGTTCTGTTTGGGTCGACAGTCCGCACGAGCCAAGGGTCTTCATAACTGGTAGGTTTGGGAATGGCCTGTTCGGGTGAACGGTGCAACCGTAAACTAAACTGTCGAACAGCTTGTGTTCTAGAAACCACTGGGGAGCCAGGGTTGCTATGCATCTTCGAGGGGGCGGCCAGTCCATGTTTTTCGTCCCTCGAGACAGAAACCTCCTCTAGGTTTCCCACAGACAGAGGTCTCTGCCTCCGATAGTCTGATGACAATGCACTCCTAGATGGCATTTGGGACAGTGTTGGATTCTCTTGTGGTGTCACGCCCCTGCTTGACCTATTCTGCGGCTGGGCGCGGCCTTGAGTGTCTGTTTTTCCCTGAGTTACGCTAGCTGATGACGGCTCCTCAGCAATACTCTCAGTGACATGTGACGTCGTATTGTGTACATCCACCGATCTGTTGTCCACATCCATTGCACTTGAAACCTGCACGTCTCTCAGCACAGCACCTGCTGAGCTTAACACAGTGGTCGCCATGGTGACTCCAGCTGTGGTGGCGTTGTTGTTGTTGTTCAACTGCGCTTCTTTCGAGGCGGACTCCGATTTGGCTGGTGCCCCTTCCTTGGTGTTCACCGCAGACTGGCCCTCCACTTTCCGCAGCTTGCTTGCCAGCTTCTGATTGGCCAGTCTATCGTTCTCGGCGGCTGCTTTCTCCTGCTCGCCAAATGCTTCCCAGGAGGCCTTGTTCTTGTGGACATTGGAGAGCATTAAATCCGAGAGCTCAGTGGGCATGAAACGGTGCCACTCCGTAAAGAGCGGTTCCACCACAAACTTCATGAACCCTGCCAGTAACGAAAACAGACAAACGTTCTAAATAATCTGACGCGCATTTGGGTTCCCCTTCAAAAGTCGATGTAAACCACTTCTGAGTGAGGTCACATTTCAAGAATGTTCAAACCCCACAATAGTTCCATTCCATTTTGCTAGGAATTTCGAGGAACTTTTGACAGATGAATGCAAGCGACTGCGATAAAAGGAACTCAAGATTTTGTACAACTGGCCACATTTGCACGACCTGTGACCTTAGAATACCAGGAGTCTCCCACTGTGAGGCTCCAATGGTATCAATATTCTCTAGTTTAATAGCATTTGTTTCGCGTAGTTTTAAAGATAATTGTATTTTGTCACTTTAATTCTGTGTGCTGCTGCTTTCACAGTAACTCTTTATGTAACTTCAATATTAGCATTGTACTTGAAGTTGTTTTATGTAAATTTTGCATTATGAAGTGCCATAAAATATATAAATGGAAAGGGTGCTAGATACAAATGTATTATCATTATTTTGTGGAACAAAGCCAAGCCCGTAAATTGTTTCTAATTGGGCACAAGGAGCAATGTGTACATGAACTTGGCCAAACTGTCTCAGGAGATGAGACTCTGATGAGGTCATAATTGGCGAGGCTGTTCTGCCATGAGATAAGACCATGTTCCTGACTTCAACAGTCAGTGGCTCTACAGCAGTTCCATTGAGCCTTGTCATCTACTTGAAAACAACTCAATGCCTGGCCCATCACAAGTCAATCACAGGAAACTCAGAAGCCCATCACAAGTCCATTATACTGTTGCATATCAGTCCGTCAAAGGTCCATCAAAAGTCCGTCAAAAGTCCGTCAAAAGTCCATCAAAAGTCCATCAAAAGTCTGTTAAAAGTCCATCATACATGTACATTCATCGCATTCCACGGTAACGGACCGTCAAGTATCGCTCCCATTTCTCTCACTGCAGCATACAGAGATGTCATTTGACTTGTAATGACCGACGGGACAATTTTGTGCAGAATGCATCTTGGCACAGCAGGGTTCGATGACCAGCCAATCTGAAGTCCATCACACACCCATCAAGAGCCAATCCGAAATCAAAATACGAGCCAATTTATCAAACAAGTCGGGCCACAAGTTGGTTTACACACCCTTGTATTTATATTCTTGTGGGGTATTTGACTTGGTTCTCGTACACTTTCCATATCGCTCCCATTTAAACCCGACTATCATTCCTGGGTTGAGATTTCAACCAAATGACCCTTACACAACCTTACACATTATTTTGCGACATATAAATTATACCTTGGAAATTCCATCTTTTTGAGCAAATTCCAAAACTCTATTTTCGTGAAATTCTTGTCTATGTGGGGTTCTTCCTTTTGTTTTGGTACCCCAAGAGGTACCTTAAACACATGCACTGGAGTTAACAAAAGAGGGATAACAGTGTTGAGGAGTGTTACTCAATAGAATCAAGCTTCAAACTTGGCTTTGGACTAGGCGACTTGCATTTGACTCATGAGGACTTGCAACTAACATTGCGAGGACATGTAATCGACGTGTGAGGACTTGTGTGGATGTGTGAGGACTTGATTCCCTGACCTGCTTGTATCTGCTGTATGGTGTTCTTGTAACGATCACAGTTCATAGTCAGCGGTAGTTTCAGTCCCCGCTCTCTGTCGCCTGGAGAAAGAGGGAATGGCCACAGACAAATCAGTGAAACACTGCTTAAAAATGACCACTGCTTAAAAATGTTGGCCGGAACAAATAACTCCATCGATCCAAGATTGTTTTGTTCGATGCATTCCACTCATCAAAACACAACACAGCCCCAGAGTGATTGTGTGTTTGCTGTGCGCAATATATTCCAAATATTACAATGAAACGCTATTTTTTTGTGGTTCGCGTTCAAGCAAAATATTTTTCGTATCACAAAAAGGTTTTGCTGAGGTTTACCCTTACCACCAAGAGGTTATCAACCAAACTACGAATTGTTTTCAGAAAGCTACCCGAATGCTCAAAATCCAGTTACATGTTTGTGTAAAACAAACCAGTGGCATGTTCTTCACGCGTAAGAATTGGGACATCAAATTCTGCCTAAGGCAGTGCCGAAAGGTTTGGCTGAGGCAAGAATTTACATGAGTGTCTATGAAAGCCATTGAAAAATGACACCAGCCACTTCCCACAGGTGCGTATGTGAGTCCTAGCCACAACCTTGACTTCAGAAAGCAGCCTAGAAGAGGCTGGGCTCTGCCATCTGTATCACCAAACCTCATCCACATTCATGATTGAGAGTCAAATTCTCAATGATCCATTCAACATCACATGCTATATTTGCTGTTTAACGGGCCTACATCCAAGGATTCAAGCAGAAGTCAAACATATACAAGCATAGTAAACTGTTCCCGTGGAATAGTTTACTATGTGTGATCTTTATGACGCAATCACAGAACTGTCATCCAGGTGAAGTGCATGCACGCAAGCATCACCCTGGCTACACACGGAAAGATGGCAGCGTGCATGAATATTGATAAGTGTTTTCAGTGAATCCTCATATTGTCATGGCAACTGAGTATGTATAAGGCACGGTAAACAAATATAAGAACTAGTTTCTCAAATCCCAAAACCGAGGGGCACAACCGTGGACTGTCCTCCACAAGTGTTACAGCATATTTGATTAATTAATGCTTCACTTGAGGGCTTTTGGGTCATTGGGGATTTAGGTAGTTCAACAGACGAGACTCCGTGATTTGAGCGATGACAAGTTGGAGTTCGGAATGGTACATACCCTGATTGTAGAATTCTTCTGTGACCATTTCACTCCATCGCCGACTTATCTCCCATCTCCTGCAGGGATTACAGATGTCGGCACACTTCAGTGCAATCTAAAAAGAGAGAGTTCATAATTACATACATGTAGAGTTCGGAAACATCAATTTCAAAACAGGACAACACTGTTTGTTCAATGCAAATAGACTGTAATTATGCGTCGGCCATCTTGAAATGAAAGTGAGGTTAACTATTCATTTTGGGACCCGAGAGTGAAAATAACTATGAAATAAAAGTTAGTGCCAGTTTACAGGTAGAACAATTTAAAATTTGTGATAAATAATAACTACGTAACGTTTTAAGCCACATTAATTAAAGGAATCTGAGAGCGAGGCTTGGAACCCAAAATAGTCTGGCATCATCCCATTTCACATGAAACTGAATATGATAGATTCAGGGCACAAGATCAAAGATGGCTTCCACATGAAGAAGGAATAGCAAAACCCCACCATTGGTTGACAACACGTACATTGTCTTCTGCTCAGGATTTAGTTTCAATGCTCGGGGCGGGGCTTCGTTTAGGGAGGCTTACCTGCAAGATGAAGTTTTTGTGCCCTGCATCTTTCATGTCAAAGTCATTGGCACTGAGGTGATTCTGTGGGAATGGGCAGATCAAAAGTTAACTGTAGTTTATTTACAATACTTCAGAACGATCTTCAACAATAACCACCAGATATAAGTGAAAAGAAAATTAGCAACAATGACAACAATAAATGGTATTCACTTGTGAAATGGAAAAAGAGAGTTAGCCCTAAATTAATTGTGGGCTTTCAGATCAGATTCATACGTATCTCTATCAGCAAATTTGTAACATTTCCACAATTTTCATGGACAGTATTTTCCTTTTTCTGTCACCGTGAGATGAAACAACAGTCCCGTCGAGAATAAGATGAAAAGAAAAGTAAATGCACACGGGACAATAATTCCAATAATCTTCCTAGAGCAGGAGCACCCCCTCATTGGTTGAAAAGAGCCATGCTGGTCGAGGGTGTTCATTTTGCTGGCAGCGACGTGTCTGTAACATGTGCATTTCGTAGTTGTTGTGAACCAGTGAAGTGCAGTTCTAACCAAAGGAGCCGCAATTGCTAGGAAAATTGCGCCCTCTCTTGGTCCAGCTCGGGGCTCATTACCTTGAAGTTTTGCAAGAATTCCTGCTGCCTGGCAATGTCTGTAGCTAGAATGAGCGAGCTGATTTGTTCAACGACGCAATCCCTAGGGAATGGAAGAAAGAAATGCACAACGTTAAGGCGCAGCGAAAGCAGCGATGACAAATCTTTAATTTGTGAAAGAAATATGTACTTGAACAAGAGTGAAAGAGCCAAATTTGTCATAAAAACTTTGCCCACAATTCTCGAACAGACATCTCTTGCAAACTATGGACCCAACGTACATGAACGAGTCTACTAGTTGTTTTTACGCCTTGTTTTTCTTACCATTACTGTGAATTTCCTGGAAACTTCTCTAAAAGGTAGCAAAACTATCAAATAATGGAGCACTCGAACCTAGCAATTTATACTGTGAAAGATTCTAAACCATTTCTTTGCACACTCAGTAGGGGTATAAACTTCGTCACCCATGTGTGAAACGACTTGTTGATTAGCAAGGACTGTGAAGTCTGCAAAATTTCCCACGCTGCAGGGAAAAAATGCACACAATTGCTGTCAAGATATGGAAAACTTCCCTGGTGCATGTACATGGGTGTACTCATTCTTGAGGTGTAATCACAGTGCATGGGACTGAACAAGGCAGGAGCTCCGACTGAACACCTGGTCCCTCACCTCCCACTTTCAAAACCAACGACAGAATGTAATGCAGAGGGTGGGGAGCTGCCTACTTTACTACCGTGAGGTCAAATCTGAAAGTTAAGGATTTGGCTGAAGGTAATGCACGCGCATATGGAAGTTGCCTGAGATCGACTGTGACTGCTTCCCATAAACACAAGCCAACCGCGGCCGTTGGAATCAGACATGGCCTGCCCTTTCCACTCTTGGGTGGCCCAGCTATAGAGTGCCCTCAGTAGGACGTGCATGAACTCCAATGTATAAAAAAAGCGATCATACCACAACTTCTTGTCTAGGTGATCTAGCAGTTTTGACTCCCTGAGCACGGATATTGCTGCACGCCAGTGGTGATTTTCGAGCACCGATGAATTCTGCAAATAAAAAAGGAAGAGCAAAGATGTCTTTCAAAATCGCAAGTATTCTGTAAACATGCAGACTGAATTCTTTTACATAGCAGGTATTCACATATCATTCATATCCTGCAATTATCTTGTTCAACCATGGTCAAAACACATCCTCTTTTGGCCCGGGGAAGTACTTGGCGAAAAAAACCAGACGTCTGACCGAAACTTTCTTTTGAATATTCACAAGTTTCAAAAATTCTTCCCCTGAATACAGCCAGTTCAATTTTTCTCTTTTACCTTCAAATTTGAATATTCGATTTCAACATTTGAATTCCCAACTTCCAAAATTGAATTCCCCAAAATTTACTCCCAACACAAATGGGTAAGAACTACAAACAGAATCAGAAATTTGTACCTTTTTCTGAGAAGCAGACAACTTACCCCATACAACTCTGCTAAGTGATTACTAGTTGCTATTAGAAACACCTGGTTGACCCCTGGATGGTCTAGGTCATGGGTTGCCGATGCCAAGATGGCCGACATGACCTCGATGGGTGTCAGAACCTCACGCAGCTGATGTAGGTTTCGAAAGAAAACAAGACAGACAATGCGAAATATTAAAGACAGAGGCCAGTTCGGAAAAACTTATAGCATAAAAGAACTGAAATATAAACACTTGTGATCAAATGTTATACCTTCATCTCTTGAAGATAACAGTACATAGCCTGTGTGACATCTGCAGCATGCAATGCATTATGGTAGGGGTTTCCATGATAACCAGTTTCTATGGCAACTGTAAAATAAACAAAGTTGGTCCAATTTCATCACAATACATGTATAATAGTCACAGTAACATTTCCACAACACGTCACATAATTATGTGATTAAAATTGGTAAGATCTTGATTATTATAAAAGAAGTTCACATCATGTGAACATTAATTTTTGAAACTTCCTCCCAGCTAACTACACTTCAAATGAATCTGTAAAACATTACCAATCACAACCGTACTGTAAGTGTACAGACAGTGGTAAAACTGGTTTCAAACAAGAAAAATCAAGGAACTTCCAAACTCGTTTATCACAATTGGTACTTTTAAAATTGAAAACATTTTGATTTTGTGAGGCCTGTGAAACCTCAAAAAAGCAATAGTCGTGAAAAGCAGACGGTAACAGGATTTGGCATTCGGGAGACAAAGTTTCCCATCATCAGGCAGAGGGCGGGCTCACTCGGGAACAGTGGCGCTCGACTGAGACCCACCTAAACACTTCCACAAATTGGTTGGGTCCAGCTGAAACTTGTGGATCAAATCGTACTTCTGAAAGAGCTGCATGCCCAGAAACCTCAGGGAGTGGCCTGCATTGTAAAACACGCACAACAGAAGCCAAGGGGTGAGACGGCAGGATAATGAAGTCTCTACCAAATACATGTACCGGTAACCAGCAGAGGTTTGGAGGGCCCCACGGTTGTATTGCCTTGAGCAGGGCTGTGAGTGGTCACTTCAAATTAAAGCTGAAACAGCCAGCAAAAAGCTGAAATGTAAGGAGTCCCTGTACGTTTGTACATGGCAGGTGCCCAATAAAACTGAAATTCAAGGTCAACATATGAACCAAAAAAAGCTGAAATAAAAAAAAAAGCTGAATTTCCACACCTCTGCTTGAGGTACCCCTTAAAATGACCATTCCTTGTGTTCTGTCCCAACTTTAACATGTTAAAACACTTTGTTGGTAAACTGAGGATTCAACAGATTTTTAATAAAGGTTGTTTGAACAAAAACTGCGAAGATCCTGAAATCAGGAAAAATCCTGACAAATCCGACCTCTCAGACCCTAAGAAAGGTTTGCTGAAGACATGACACGAGAGAAAGATCATCTGAATGGAGGAAAGATGAGTACCAAGAGGAACGATTGCGGGTTGAACACTTTATCAAGAATGCCACTCAACATTTCTAACTAAAACAATGAGCCCAAAGTGGCCCATAAATAGATTTAATAGTCATAAACTTTTAGATTCAGATGGTCATGTTTTGGGAAAAAGAGAGATCTGTTTTGAAGACTTCTATTTTCAAAGCTCCCCTCATTCTGAATTTTCCATCTGTAATTTGCAATTTACAAACTTCACAATGTGCTGAAAGTCTGTTCAGTGAAAGAACCGACTCAATTGTGCACTTATTTGTAAATCCAATAAAAGCTCTCAATTAGCCAATGAAAAATACCAGCCCAGTCAATCATTTCAATTCAATTTTGGCCTCGACAAAAACAACGAAAAGTTAAACAATACAATCTGAATTAATTATTTTTTAATTCCTAACTGCTGTTCCTTGAGCAATGCGAGTCAATTTAATAGGCTTGTCAATTTTATTTCGAGGTTGATGGTACGGTGGTGTGTCACCTGCTGGCTGAGTCAATTTAGCTCCGTGCGAGTGTTTTACCAGCTGTCACGCTCGGCTGGGTCCGACTCACTAATCGCGCGGAAATTAAAAGACAGAGATGTCAGACTGGCAGTCCGCTAAATGAGTCTTAACAAGCCATCCGTGAACTGTAAATCCGGACGGAGAGATTTCGGTCCTGCCGCTGAAGGATTTGGCAGGTAGGGTTTTTGTTTGTTAATTGCGTAGTGTCAGTCCACGTTCTGATGTTGATTTGTTGAGAAAATGCTCAGTGGCACACTTCATTTGAAAGCTGTTGCACACAAGGAACGGTGAACACGTCAGAAGATTTGGCTTGATCATTTTTCACAAGAGTAAATCGGGTAGAGAGGTGCACACGGTTTGTCCATTCGGGCAAGAATCAACCTGCTTGTCCCAAAACTGTCGAATAAATTCCACGCCCGAATATTCTAGATGCATGGAATAAAAAACAAAACGTTTGGCGGACACGACCTGATGAATGTAATAATTTGAAATGATTACTTCTCAATCCAAGCAGGATGTATGCCGTTCTACATGTAATTAAGCCTCAAGTGCATGGCCCGTTCATCCCTCAATGGATTTGATCTTCCAACATTTACCTGTCTGGCTTCCAATGTTTGCCTTCGCTTCATTATCTGGTCACTTAGACCATCGCATGACAGACATTTTTGTTTTCATGAGTGCTTTGCCTGCTAATTTGGGTTTGGTTCCATCAATGCCTCGTTGGACTTCACTGCATTTCATTCATAACTACCACTTACGATATGATAAGAGGAACATGTTAGCTTACAATGCGATATATTTAGAATTTTTTCTCTCCCTTTTGAGAGGGGAAAGCTTAATTTTACAGGTCAAAAATGCTGGTACTCAAAACAAACACATTTCAATTTTCACTTTAAACGTGCTCATCGTTACAGATGGTAATGGAGCATTATCAAACTTAAGAAATGGGCTCTCTGTGAGCAGCCCCACTGAAGTTAAAAAGTCTTCTGAAAATGGCAGGATGGGAACGAGGCGGGGCGGGGGAGAACGTACCTCCAGTGACTTGTTCCAAGTGAAAGATGTTGAAATCCCAGCACGAGAGCCTAGTGAGAAGTTGCTGCAAAGCCAAAAGACACACACACAAACAAAAACAAAAAAAAAAGGAAAAACAAATTACTTTCCTGCAACATCATTATTAGACAGTTGGACTGGTTGAACCAAGGGACCTCCTTGATAGACAGAAATGCCCCTAGCAACGAAGGTCCCAAGTCGGATGAAATTGGCAGGGAAGTGATCGCAGAGATAAAATCAAGTGTAAAAGTAAGGAAAAAAACCAAGTCGGACTTTCTGAAGAGAGCCTTTAGAGTGCTGTTGAAACTGAAACTCTAAGCGCTCACGCTCAGTAAGCCTGAAGGGATTCGAACCCGGGGACTTTGAAGTTGAAAGCAAAAATTTACCAATGCCTTTCATTCTACTGTATCTTATTCTCTACAGACTTGGACATCTTTACTTGAGTAATTTTGTAACCAATGAACAGAACTAGGACAACGAACATTTGAACAATGTCAAATTATTTTTCTCTTTGTTCTGGATATTCCATGAACTGCAGGTATGTGAAATCCAGTGTTGCGGTTGAATACATTTCCTTGAGTGTCAGTACGAGTACAGTATGTCACTACGACAACCAGTTTGAGTAATTCTGTGTTAGTGCAAATACTAATGCATGGAACTTTTGTCCAAATACAAATACATTTTTATGAGTCCAAGTGTGAGTATGAGTGCCAAATTATACTCAAGTACAAGCACTGGTATAAGGGTGAGAACTACAACACTGAGGAATAGGTACCGGCCACCTCACCGATGAGTTCCTCTCGTAGCTTTTACTGAGTCATTTATAAAATGAGGTCACAAAGAGAGGTTTCTAAGTTTATCAGTCAGTTCAGAGTTTGAGACGAGAACGATACGAAATCGGCATAAAGTGATGATTCGTGACCTAGCCTTTGATGTGATGCATCGAGACACTTGGACACAAACTTTCCTTGGAAATATACTCAGGTATGAGGTACTGTATCGGTACTAAGAAACCTGTGAGTAATGAGTTTGTGCCCTGGTACACTGCATTCGCATGTACGTGTAATTCAAGTCATTTTATCGAATTCATGTTGTGTTATCAAATCCAAATGTCAGACTCAAGGCCAAACATTTTTCAACAGGGAGAATTCTTTTCCCAGAAAAGATAAAAACAACCTCTTGGGTTTCATCCTCTTGCCTCTAAACACCGACAACTGGGTTGGTGTGAATGACTTGAAGAAAGTAAGATCTCCAAGGACAGCATTCACATGATAGCATACTATTAGAGTCCAAATTTTTGTCGTTTGAAATTTTTCCGGAGTCCAGAAATCAAAATTTCACATGATGGACCCTACAAACCTACCCGTAATTGTCACAATTACGAGATTTTCGAAGATGTGAAAGATTCTGTGAGTACCGGTAGATTGTTGCCACAATTTTTTGCAATTAAAATTTTTTTTAAATCCCTACATCAAAATTTCTAATCAGTAACCCTAAAAATCTTCTCCGACTTGTAAGAATCACCAAGATTTAAGAAGATTTGGAAGATTCCCCAACTACACGTACATGGACATGAACATGTTGCTGTCAAAGTTTTTGTTGCAAAAGAAAAACTTACTTCTTAAGTCCCACAAATCAAACTTTCACATCATTAAACCTCCAAAAACTTCCCCTATTTACATGTACATGTAACTGACCCAAACCCACCAGATTTGGGGAAAATTTGAAGGGTTAAGAAGAAATGCGCATGATGGACATCCAAGGAATAAGTACTACCTAGAGTGTGGTGCATCTTTGAAGAAAGTGGAACATTTAGAAGATTAATGCAAGTCTCAAGCAACCACGTCTGACGAGATAAAATGTGCTAACGGAAATTTATGCCATGCTTTGATATTCAAAAACACACTACAGTACGTGGCACATTATGTCTCCAAATGAAATGTATAAAACAATATATTTGCAGCAAAGGACAATGCTTGGGCCGAACGCTTTGAAAACCTAGAAGAGGTAGCACTCTTGATAGTGGGTTAAATACAAAAATACAATTCATGTAGCATGTGTCTCATAGGATTGATGAAAGGGAAAAAAATGGGTAAGCCAATTAATGGGTAATTTTACCAGCAGGTCGTTTTCACAATCGTCAACACCTCCCAGCCAATTTCCATCAGTCCAACAACATCTAGTTACCCTCTGAAATTGATTTTTTGTTTTCGCTGCAGCTGTTTTTACGGCCTGACGCCTAGGAATCACATTGCCGTAGGGTCAGACAAAACACGGCGCCGGACGTAAAACGACAACAACGCCAGGCGGAAGAGCCTGGCAAATGGAGGGACGGCAAAAAGCTGTGATACACCTGAGAATTGGGGAGCTGAACATGAAAGGAGGGGATCAGGAATGTGACATTTACTCGTGCTGTTTGTACAAGGTCCACATTTGACAGCATTACTCCAACATATTCTGATTGCTTTGATATAATGCCTAGAGTTAATAGCCATTTCCCCTATCAGGGTATGAAGATTTCCTTCTTAATCAAAGTGATGATTTTCCAAAGTAATCTCATCACTTCTTTTATGATGGCGTCAACATTAGGCATTTTGCTTTGATCTAATCTTTGTATGTAATTGATACCATCGATGAAATCTCAGGAAAATTTCACAGTAAAAAAACACACTAGACAGCAGAGCTGGGGAACAACTATGGTACTTCTTCTTTGGTGCTGAAGGAGCAGGCAGAGTTTGGGAAGGAATTGAATTTTCTTGGGAAAATTTTACCCAAAGGATTGCTACTGTATCTCTACGGATCAGAGGAGAAAACTTGTTTTCCAAAGTGGTTTTGACAGGATCTGGGAGATTTCGGGGGAGGGGTGGGAATGGAAACTTACATTTGCCTGCCCACAGTACCAGCTATCAAGATGCGACGAGGATTCCGGGATAATTGGTGGCCGCGACTTGATGGCCGTGGCTTGAACAGTGACCTTTGGCAAGCTCAACTCTCGGGAATGCTTCAGACTGGTCCTCCTCACATTGTTGTCAATGGCTAGGATTGGGAACACAACAACTACGTCAACAGCCCGATTGAGAATACAGCAATATACACAACTAAAGTGAAATCCCATTCAGATTACTACAGTTTGATGAACAACCCAATTGAGAATACAACTGAATAAAAAGTCCAATCGCAAAATTACAGAACTGAATGAATAGCTCAATGGCCTGATTGAGAATGCAACTTAAATGAACAGATGATTGACACTAAAACAGAATGACCAGCCCAACTGAGAATACAACTGAATGACCTGCCCAACTGAGAATACAACTGAATGACCAGCCCAATTCAGAATACACAAAATTGCATAATAGTCCAATAATGACTAAAACAACTAACTTTTTCACTTCTTAAAGACACAACATCACATTATGGAACTGACAGGCTGACGTACCGTGGTACCATACAGTACGTCACCTTTGCCTTACATTTGGGTTCGAGTCCCACCCTGACCGAAGCGTGGACTGGGTTTTCACTTCGTGCCCAGTTCTGTGAATTTCCTTGGAACATCATCCCTGGGTTTTCCTCCCTACTCAAGACCTCCACAATTTCATCCTTGTTTTTCCCCCTCTCTCTCTGGGGTACAGTGGCAATATGCTATTGAAGAAACTCTTGCTTTCATTCCCAAAAGGAACGATATAAAAAAAAAAAAAATTGAATTTTCACAACCCGGATATTATATTACATGCTGGTTCATACATGTTCTTTAAGTTATTCTCATAAAGCAATAAATTTATTTTAAAAACATGCTGTAAAATTCATGAGTTGAATGTGACTTTTTCAAAAATATTTGAATACTATCTACATCGCAATTTCGTGTTCATGTTTACTTTCAAGACAAGTACCAACCAGCCTTGACATAGACCCTACATGTACATGTGCACGTGTCTGAATCAGCTTTTTCATAAGAGCTCCACATCCTCTGTGTTTGAAAAAGTGGGACAAGTTCCATTTCATACATACGTAACAGTCACAACAACAAAAAAAAAATTTAAATCTTAAATTGGACATCTTCATGTCTCCTCCCATTCCCTGTTGATGACTTACCTTCAATGATCTTGTACTCACTGTCGGGAAGAGAGCCGCGTCTGCCATCGGCACGTGACATCAGCTGTTTGGATTTTACACGGACATCGCCTGTCAAACGGCAAATGAAAAAAAAAATAATAATAAAAAACCAAATGAGCTGTTACTGTCAGTCCGGGTAATCACTGCTCTGCGGATGCCGTCACCACGGCAACCGGGGAATTACTGTCTACCGCGTGGAAATGGGGGAATAATTGGTGGCTTGCCCTGCCAAGGAGCTGGATTTAACCGCTGGAGCCGTGTCTCTCTATTGAGGAATTACCTCTAAGTAAACTGCAGAGAAGGTGTTGTAAGCAGGTGCCGTACCTGGATAGAGCAGGGAAGCTAAAATCACATGTAACGGTACATGTCCGTGTATATGAAAGCCATCCTCGCTACCACTTAAATTTTTCATCACTGAAAGATCCTTGTGGAAGTGTTTGAATGAACTTCCACTCGACCACAGTGCAATTTTAAAACTCGATTGACGGTGCATCCACCCTTTAGAACTCATTCTAGAGTTTTAAACAGAGAGGTGCTGGAGCATGTAGTAAAACTCACTCACTTCTGGGAGAGATGTAACCCCAACTAAGCACAGGTCTTGGGTTCCATCCACTTAGCAATTACATACATGTGCATGTGTGTGGCTACATGTAGCACTGTGCTCCAATTTGTAAATTTCTCTCAAATTCTTTTTGCCAGACCAGACTGGTCCCAGACCAGTTGGCAAGTCAAATTACAAATAGCATATTGGCATTCTGTTCTACAGTACATGTTGTGTACTCGAATCAATAGCAGATTCAAAGATGGGTACGAGTGGTCAGGTAACCAGTATCCTTCCATCTGATCAATATTAATTGTGCTCAGACCTAACCCAGTGAGGCTTACTGGTACGTCGGCAAGTCATTTTGATGACCTGAGGGTCTGTTTTTACAGAATCTTGCATCTGTAACCAATCTAAGAACCGCTCAACATTTTTCACCCTCATAATCTCCATTTTTGCCGGGCTGCCAAACTGAGTGATGCATCAAAACAGAGAGCACGCAAAGTTTGATCTTTCTACTTCAAACTTACACAAATTACTGGCAGAAAATGGCCTTTAGACTGACTTGGAAGAAACAGGTCGCAATCAATTGTTATACATTAACTAGCAAATTCCAGAAAAAAAAGACAAACAAAAGCCTGTTATTGCTCTAGCAAGGCCTTTGATCTCTGCGCACACTGACTTCAACACCCTAACCACCTCACCCTCCCCTTTAAAATGCATCAGCCACAGCCCTTGGCTGACTCTCAGATCTGCCATGGAGTACACTTTTTGCCTGCCAAGATAAGAGAAGCTGACCATCTCAGCACAGCATGACACCACACATTCTCTCTACAATGGCCCCTTGGCTTTGACAAAAAGAGCGCCCTAGGTTAACAAGACCCATAGTTGAATTCTCAGAAGCTACAGGTACTCCACCAATTCCACCACCTCCCATGCTAACATTGATTGCCATCGATTGCAAAGATTTCTGGTGTGCGTAGGGTACTTAAGGAAACGCTGCACTCCGTTGAAGAGAGGGGAAGAACGTTGAAGGCAAACTTCCCAGAGGCACACGAATATTCATCCCCAGTTGATATCAACTAAGGCATTAGGGCTGTTGGGTATTCGCACACTGAATACCCAACCAAAAAATGGCCATTGTCCGGTCCAAAAACTTAAAAAGGTTGGATGGCTTCATGGCAAAATCTGTGCAGATTTTGTCAGGCCCTGTCCACAAGGAAAGCTCAACTTCTCATCAAATTCAAATAAACTTACAAACGCAAAATCTGTTTTACACATGAATTTATCTGACACACTACCATGAGACTAGTCTCTTATTTCCAAGGTTACGGTTGCCAATATTTTCATACCGTCGTCTGCTTCTCTTACTGCAGCAGTAAGCTTCCCACATGAAGTGCATGCATGTTACACCTGTACATGTACAGGAATGTGCCTGAGACAACCTTCACACAGTTGTTTGCACATTTCAAAATTAAAATTCACAACGCCTGACAACTACGGTACACGCACAAGTGACTCCATAGTTTGACAAGGCTGTTCTTACTGTAGTTATATGTACATGTAACGCTCTCACATGTACATTTACTTCTAAATTCTACATTTGTTCGTGCATTACTTTAACTCTAACTACATGTACATGTATGCCGCCTGCGGAAAGATTGTACCACAGAGCACCTGCAGGGTTAGGGATAATGAACGTGAATATTCTGATTGGAATGCCATGAGCTGAAATAATCATCAAAGCCAAGTGGAATTCTACGAAGAGAACGCTCTGAATGTCTTTATATGCATCTGCTTGCTGTTTAAACTGAGGTGAGATGCCCAACCTTGAAATACATGGAGTATTTTAGTGGTGGGAAGGGGGATGGTCGGAGGGGTGTTGGCCAATTACAGGCACACGGAACACTGCGTAGACGCCCTGTGCTCTCGGCAACACCTGCCTTGAGTATGCTCCAGGAACTAACACTTTCCTTGTTTGTTCCCAACCAGGAAAGCTGACAAGTGCAGACGCGCAATTCTGCTGCTGATTTGCATATCACAATTAGGCGTCCAATAACATACCTCTACATAATTTAATACAACGTAAGTATACATTCAACACCTCTCTGTGCATGTACATGTACACGTGTATGGATATACATGTACATGTACTATTGTACTATTACATGTACATTGTACATATGTATAGTACATGTACATGTATAATTAACATGAAAACTTAAATTTTCCTATAGACCTACTGGCAAATGAAGACCCATCCAACATGTAATTCCAAAGTGAAACTAAACTAACATTTGCAGCAAATGTTCTTGGGATTAAAACCATGAAAGACCAAGGAAGCCTGAAACATTGCACTGTCCACTGCACTGTCTGTTTTCTAGTCTGATGTATGTTCATTGTACAGTGTGTTCAGGTATGCAGCACTCACGCAACGCATCAATGGACAGGTACATGTACGGCTTCCCAAAATTTCAATTTCATGTAACCAAATTTAGAATAAGTTATATTCACAAATGCTAGCCAAAATATTCCTAAAAAGTTACGTATGAAACTTGAATTGTTTCAAATTCCTTTTCAATAATGTGGATGAGGAAAGCAACAATCATGTTACCTGTTTTAAGCAAGTCCTGAGAAATTAAGAGAATATTTAAGACAAATCCTGCGACAAGCTGGAAAATACTTTGAAGTCTGCTCATTAATTTATGCTTTCTGACTCCGTGTCCAATGTGGACACCTTCTCCTCTTTCCACAGGGTACTATGAGCATGTACATGTAGACTGTGTGCCCAGGTCACAAGCTGGGCTGGGAATCGATTCTGACCGGTAAAACTAACATGGGTGCCTGCGTTGCCGTGGAAACCTTCCAAGTGAAAAAAATGTGTGGCGATGGTCGGGCAAAGCGGAGCAAATGAGGCAATTAAAGCAGACACATTCAATGAAGAATTCTGCCTGGAATTCTAGAGCAATCGGAAGTTGGCGTTATCACGTGCATAAACTGTATGTATGGGAAGCATTCCCTATGGTGGGTGGTGCATCGAGAAAAACACCCTTAGCAGCAAAAACCAGCGGCACACTGAACAGTGTGTGTACGTGTGCCGTGTTCTGTACGCTTGTGAAGCTCGTGAGATTTTCTCATTTGACAAAAAAAAAGTCTTACTCATGCCTTTTATAATCTTACCTTGTACAGCGCTTCACACGGTACAAGGAATTTAGTGCTTAATAATTCAATGAATGTTAGAATTTACAACTGATCGAGGTACATGTACATGTATGCCAGGAAAAACCTGCCTGGATACGAGTAGGACATCAAAGCCTACAAATCAGAAGGACAACGACCACACAGATATTTTTCCCCAAGACAAGTGAGCATGAAGCATCCATTGATTCAAGAAATCCAGTCGTATCGGTGGCATGTTCTGTGCCAGTAAATTCTACCGAAACTCAAACATTCCACCACAGGGGCTTTGGTCCATTTTGTTTACACTTAGATGTAGTTTCGCACTACGCAGTGTACATGTACATTGTACTAGCACACTGTCTTTACAATGCGTGCACTCTCTTAGAAACGGAACCACGCTGCTGGCATTATGCGGACTGGAAAAGCTTTACCGAGAGGTGCTTCTAAGGCGCATGCCTGTGTGTAAATATTGCATTCTGAAGGACCTGAAGTGATGCAGCGTGTTTATTGCGTACAGAGAGATCACAAGATGATCCAACTGATGGACAAAGGGCGACCAAGCCAGTGGTTCTATCTTGCTATTCAGTGATGGTCCTCTGCCCCATGAGCTACATGTATAAATACGGCTTTAACGGGTCACCATGTCTAATCGATTTTGATGTTTGCTCAGTTATTCCTGGCCGGGTTGGCAAGGCTCATTGTTAACAGTTGGGCTTATTTTTCGAAAAGGATAACAACTGTACCATTTGCTCTTCTAATTTGTAACCACTGGCTATGGGCTTTGGAGTGCCCCATGCTGTCAATGTTTGCACAGTGACCCTGCCGATAATCCGCGACCTGACTCTTCATCTGTTATCCCGCAGGCCCACAATGGCCCACGCTGACCAATTCACGATTTGCCGGTCCACAATCTTACTCAGATGAGAGCGCTTGGCAGCCTTGGCAAGTGAGGGTCGGTGAAACTTGAGCAGAGTCACCAGTTCTGAACCGTGCAGTTCATTTTAATGCAGAATTATTGTCAAGCATTACCGGGTACTCTGTCAATGCCAAAACCGCAAATGACATCTGTCCATGTTAGAAGACCAAAATCAACTGGGCCTTTGAATCTTTAATGACTTTTCAAATAAAATTGAGACAGAAGTACTTGTAAAGTACACAAAAAGCATTTACCAAGTACTTTATAAAAGCTTCTGCCCTGAGAGTTTAAGGTCATACAATATTTTGATTGTCCAAAGCTTTACCTTTTTTTGGTTACGTATTTACCATCCAATAGAGGCTTTGTGCGGTAGCCATCTAGCAGGGCAGTTCTTCTGTTCCACAGGGAAACCTCCTTTGTGCATACCCTGTG